ATCAACTATCACACAGAATTTCACTTTGCAATCTTTCAAAATGTTTTTAATAGATTTTTAATCGAGGTTGTCTAAAGTAACACATTTCAGTATAATCGGTAACTGTCATATTTAAACGCAACAAGGACTGGATAAGAGGATAGGAGGAGAGAAGAGAGGAAGAGGAAAAGAGAAAAAAAGAAGAGAAAAGAAAAAAAAGAGAGAGAGTAGCAAGGAACAGAGGAGAACTTTGGTGAGGTGAGCGAGGAGGGTAGAGGTGAGGTGAAGAAAGAGGAGAAGAGAAAGAACGGAAGATAAGAAAACGAAAAAAAGAGAATGAGAAAAAAGAGGAGAGAGGAGAGGGAGAAAAAAGAGAAGTTGTTGGGGGGAAAAGAAGAGGAGAAAGGGAGAAGACTTGCAAGCCTGATAATGACATACAATGGTCCAATAAGTAACTAATTATCACTGAAACGATAGCAACTGGTCATCTAAATATTAACATTTTTTATCATACCGTTTATACTGTTTCAAGATTCTTATTTTTGTAAAAAAACTTATAGATTAGTCAATCATGAAACTGTTTATATGTAGTTTCATAAATATATTGGAAGTCGTTATAACAGTTTTTTCAATATAAAGTTTCAAAATTGATTTAAAAAATTAATATTAATATTGACATTTTGTATTGAATTTAAGTAATTTTTACAATTGTACAATATGTTTGATAAAAATGCATAGTAAGCTGCTATTTATTTAAGTTATTTCTTTTTTTTTTTAAACATATATCATAATATAAATTTATTTCTCTCTGTTCGTTAAGATTAATTTCTAACTTATTCACTATTCATATTAAGTCCAATGATTAAAGATAATGGATTTCAACAACTTTTCAGATATTTAAAGCAAAATGATTTATAAAAGCTACAAAATGTTCTAACCAGGATAACCAGGCTATGTTACATGAAAATTGTAGAAAAATATATGTGATTTCTGAAAGACATTAGACTAATTATTTTTTAATAAATATTATTTGTACCATCATAATTTTTAAGCCAAGTAAATGAAAATAACAAGCTTAATATTAAAATACAAAATATTAAATAAAATAAAAAGAAGAGTACAAAATATGATATTTAAAGAAGTTTTTGTAAAAATTTAAATTTTTCATATAATAGAGAATATACCAGATATATGATGAAAGTATATATTCTCATTGTCTTTTTTGATTTATTTTTACTTATTTAAGTAATATTTTTCTAAATGAAAGGTCAAGCAATATACATTGTGACTGAAAAGTTTTCGGAAATTCTCATTTAAAATTCGCGCGCTGTATATTTTTCGATATTTTAAGTTTATGTAGTTTGGCAGCACTTTCCTTAATTACTATGCCAAAAATGAGCGCGATCTGTCAGACAGTTCGTTTACGGCAGCTGTTGAAACCAGTTCACCTCAGTAGTGCGTTGCGAAAAAAACAATGGAAAAAAATATTGAACAAAGAGTTTGCATCCAATTTTGTGTTTCGAACGAAATTTCGTGTGCAGAATCGTTGCGAATGCTACAAAAGGCTTATGGGGAATCAGTTTTATCGAAAACTCAAGTTTATGAGTTGTACAAAGCCTTTCAGGACGGTCGTACGACCGTCGAAGACATGCCGCGTTCTGGACGACCTTCGACCTCTACCACCGACGAAAACATTGAAAAGGCAAAGGAAATCGTGTTCAAAAATCCTCATGTGAGTGTTAGAGAGATAGCACGAGAGCTAGGCATCGGTCGTGAGAGCTCGTTTGATTTTGGTGGACAATTTATGCGACGTGTCAACGCCCGGCTTGTTCCGATTCACCTCAGTTCAACATTATCAACGATTTTAAGGCCAAACATTCAATAAATACCATCGAACAGCCACCGTATTCACCTGATCTTGCACCGTGTGACTTTTTCCTGTTTCCCAACCTCAAATTACCACTCAGAGGAACGCGTTTTGAATCCATAGAAGACGTAAAACAGAATTCGCAGAGGGAACTCAAAGCCATACCGGAAAGCGCCTATAAAAAATGTTTTGATGATTGGAAGAAACGTTGGCATTTGTGTATCGCTTCTAATGGAGCATATTTTGAAGGAGATAAAATAAATATTGATGAAGATTAAGAATTTTGCGTTTTATTTAAAATTTCCGGAAACTTTTCGGTCACAATGTATATGTATAAACTTGCAAACATTTTTTTTTACTTTTATAAAAGACTTAAATAACATTTTTGTGGCCTTATAAATTTATTATAAGGCGGACACGTATGCATGCATATATTTTATTCATTTATTTGAATGTTAATATAATTCACAATAAGATTACAGACATTCTATATATGTTACATAGATAAATAAATTCGTAGATTTACACATATATATTTATATATATCATTATATGCGTGTAGATCTTAACAAAATCAATAAACAGCAGAAGGGTAAATTTATTTTTATGACATCGTTAATGGCACACAATTCAACTCTGTCATAAAAGTACCTTATATCAAGAGTAGCACCAAAGCCCATCGAAATTTATTTTTATGTCAATTTGCATTTGGGACCATATGCAAAATTACAATTTAATGCCATGTCAATAGCCTGGGACAATATTTTTATGTCTGTTAATGCCATAAAAATCATTTCATTTTTCATTTCTTATTAATGCTTTAGTATTTTTTGCTTCTTTTCAACAGAAATTAACTAACGAATATTTTGTTCGAAGTTTGTTAAACTTTAATTTATTCGTTAAAATTATTTTAAAGTTTTAATAAAATTCATTTTATAAAAATAAAATTTCCAATTTCAACACACGTATTACTTATTTATCGATGATTTGCTTAACTTTACAGTTTTTAATGACGCACTTGTGGGACGAATTATGATCCATTTTATATTTGTATACCTTTATAAGAGGTGATTCTATTTAGATTATACTTATTTTTTACAGATTTTATGCATAAAAGTACTAAAACATATATCCAAAACCAAAGACTTGCAAACTTACAAACTGTTTCACAGCTATCGAAGGAGAAATTATGCAAATATCAATTAAATGGTTCTAAACAGATTACATTGAGTACAGCTATAACCGATAATTATTTGTAAAAGAGTGTAAAAGAGGAGCAATAATTAAAGAAGATACTTATTTGGTATAGTTCACGTACCAAAAATGGGACATATTTTCTCACAAAGAATCTGCGTATCTAGCTATCTGCGTATACCCAAACTTACAATTCCTTATTCTGATTTTGACTAGTAAGCACTAATCCATAGAAGTGTGGTGTGTCTATACTAAAATTATGAAAAGAATAGACATAAAATACGAAACTGGTAACGCTCTCGCTTAATCTAGTTTATTAAGAATGAACGATGTTCTCCGAATTTATACCAACTTTGCTTTTCTCTTATAGGATCACTAGATTGTTTTATAGTACAACCAAAACTACTATAAAATATATTTATATTTTATCTTTCATAAGGACATAACCTACATTTCTTTTTCGAACTGTTAAATCATTCTTTTGACAATGGAAGATATATGGAAGACATCATGCAGTGACTAAATTCTCTTTGCAAAAAAATCAGAAACTAAATTAAAAATTTATACTACAAGAGTGAATATGGTCGATGTACTTCTTTAAGTACATTTACTTCTACTTTTTTAAGAACAATTGTTTTTAAGTTAAATAATTTGTTTAAAAGTGAATCAACATCAGAAACTAATATATAGTACATGTAAAATACAGTACATAATATCGGAAAGTTCTAAATTGACCCAGAGAAATTTAATGAAGACACATGCATTTCACTAAACATTGTGAGAAACTAAAACACAGTATATGATTACAGAAAGTTTTAAATTGACCCAGAGAAATTTAATGGAGACGTGCCTAAGTCTTTAAATATTAAGCTTTAAATATTATTTCTAACCAAGTTTCGGGTTTTAAAAACTCAACCGCTCGATATATATCGTATTCGTTTACGATGGAACAAACGAACATTTAAATGTGACGTTATCAGCAACATTTGCGGCGTTTTAGAAAGAACAAAAATAATTTTATGGATCACTTCATAACTATAAATATAAATACTGATAAATATCTTTAGAGGATGCTTGAAGCATAATTACGTACCTGTAAACTGGCGAGTGGCAAGAGTCATTTTTATTCCGAAAGCAGGAAAAAATGGTCACCTTTACTCTAGAGATTATAGGCCAATTAGTCTTACCTCTTTTATTCTCAAAATTTTTGAAAAAATACTAGCAGCACATATAGGAGACCAATTAGCTCCTGAAGTTCTGTCAAGAGCACAACACGCTTATACTAAGGGCAGATCCACGGAGACTGCTCTCCATACACTTGTCTCTAATATTGAAAAGGCCTTAGAATACAAAGAATACGCTCTAGGAGTTTTTCTGGATATTGCGGGTGCTTTCAATAATGTATCAACGCAAGCTATTTTAAATAGCTTAGATGATGTTGGTATAGACTCAGCCACATATCAATGGATTGCAAGCCTTTTAAGCTGCAGACAGATAAGGGCAGAATGGAACGATACAACTCTAGCTAGGGAAACATGTAGAGGAACCCCGCAGGGAGGCGTTCTCTCACCCCTTCTCTGGTTACTGGTAATCAATAAAATTCTTAAACAATTTGATGGTAAAGCTCCGAAACTAATTGCATATGCGGATGACATCGCAGTAGTTATAACGGGGAGATGCCTATCTACTCTAAGTGCGTTAATGAGCGACGCTCTCAAATCAATTTACAACTGGACGACCGACGCTGGATTAAGCGTAAACGCAGAAAAAACTGACAATACTTTTCACAAGAAAGTACAAGGTCACAGCATGGACGCCACCTAACTTGAACGGAACTCTTTTGCCACTGAAAACTCAAACGAAATACCTTGGAGTAATTGTGGATAGCAAACTGACGTGGAAGCCTAATGTAGAAGAACGGGTAAAGAAGGCAACAAATGCTTTATACGCATGTAAAAGGATGCTGGGAAGTACATGGGGTCTCTCACCCGGTCTTATGTACTGGTGCTACACGGCTATAGTTAGACCTATATTACTTTACGGTATATTAGTTTGGTGGACAGTTGTGAAAAAGAAAACATATATAAAACCCCTGGAAAAGGTCCAAAGACACGCGGCGATGTGCATCACCGGTGCAATAAGAACAACTCCGACGGCAGCTCTAGAAGCTATACTAAACTTACCCCCAATTGATATCTTTGCCGAGAATATGGCGGCAAAAACAGCCGAACGGCTACGCATCACTGGGCAACTTACTCGAAGATCTTTCGGGCATAACGTTGTAAATCAGAACACCACTCTTGATTCGGATTATATGATTCCGATCATGTACACCGGAGCAACAATAAAAACTGTGATCGAAAACGAAGGATGGAAAAAAGGCATGGTGCCAAAATGCAACACCATAAATGTTTTCACAGACGGTTTAAAGATGGAAGTGGGAGTAGGAGCCGGCATATATTGTGCGGAATTGAGCATAAGAATGCCGTTTAAACTTCCCAACTACTGCAGTGTATTCCAAGCAGAAGTGTTTGCTGTTAAGAAAGCGGCGGAGCTTGTGTGTAGGGATGAAACGAGGAACTACTGCATAAATTTCTATGTGGATAGCCAAGCAGCCATTAAGGCGATCGAATCTTACTGGTCATCATCCAAAAATGTTCTAGAATGCAAGGAAGCTATAGCAAGACTAGCCTGTAACCGCAGACTTTGTATGTACTGGATTCCTGGCCATAAAGGCATAGAGGGAAATGAGACAGTTGATGCTATTGCTAAAAATGGCGCAAAACTTTCAGAGGAACAAACGAGCGAAGTACTTAGACCTTTGAAACAAATACATAAACTTCGGGACGAGCACATGATAAGGAGAGCGAAGGTAAGGTGGCGGAACTTAACCACCTGTAGAACAGCTAGAATTATGTGTAGACACATATACGAAGAAAAATACACCAAGAATGTTATATCGTTTAACCGAAGGAACTGTAGAACATTAATTGGTGTGTTGACAGGTCACTGTTTGGTTGCATCACATGCCCGAAAACTAAATCTAATTCACAACGATGCTTGCAGGAAATGCAATGAGCCGGATGCAAAGGAAACTCTAGAGCATCTGATGTGTAATTGCCCGGCTCTCTCGAAAACTCGACAAAAATACTTGGGAGCTTTCAGTTTTGCAGGACTGGAGTACATACCTGAGGTTTCTGTTGGAATCTTAATAAATTTTGCTAATGAAACGCGCATCTTAAGTGATGCTTACAATCGCTAAAACAAGACTCTGATCTGGTATCGCATTGGACCTTAGTGGTCTACGCGTGGCCTTTATGGGCTGCCAGCATAATCTAATCTAATCTAATCATAACTATAAATTAGACTAAAATTCAATACTGTGATCCTCAATTATAATAAGGCACTTGAGGTAAATATGAATCCAGCTGTTCGGCTCTGAAGCGAAGTCTTGTCCATAATTTGATCAAGAAAGTAAGTGTCAGTATTTCATTTATTACTTAAGTGTCGCAAAAATGCATATTCAGAAAAATTAAGAATAGTTGGTATTTTTAACTTGATAATATGAACTTTTAAAAAGAAAAAAATATTTCTTTATAGAAAAATGTGTTCATTTTGCAAGCAATAAAAAACTAAACCAAGCGCTGCAATTATCCTAAAACTTAGTACAAAAATCAGCTCAGAAAATTATTTAGTTACATTATTTATACTCAAAGCAAAGTTTCAACCTAAATTTCACACGATTGCTATAAAAACCTTAAAAAGCAGTGCATGGAATGAATAGATTATTCTTATTATTTAAATAAAGGATATAACTAGTTTTCGCATAATAAAAAGAGGAAGGAAATTCATTTTAATGAGTTCCTGGCATGCAAAATAATTGCTGCAATTTATAAAATGTTTATTATGATACAAACTTCAAGGTTTAAAGATAAAGGAATTATAAATATATGAGATACGACATATGAGATAAAAATGTTTAAAGGTGAAAATGTAAGTGCAAATTTTGTTAGTAAAATTACTGTAGTGTTATTATTTTCTTGAAAGCATTTTACTTAATATACTTAACTTAACATTTTTTTTATTTTCAATTAAATATGAATTAAACAAAATATTTGATTCACCCTTATTAAATTTTAATATTTTATAATATTATTTATTATTTATGCTTCAATTAATTAAAGGAAGTAAATGTATTATATTATTTTAAACTTATTTGGTGTTAAGTAATTTAAATAAATAAATAGAATATATATCACAAATTTAATTTACTCATTCAATATATTTAAGCATAAAGCTCTTTCAGGTATTACTAATTGTATATCAGTATCATGTGATATTATGATATGATATACAAGGCTAACGAGAAATTAGTTTTCTCTATTTTATTTCACTAATATTATTATAACTTTTTTCTCTTAATTTAGCACAGATACTAGCTTAACTACTTGAAACGTAACGCTTCTTTGTTCAACATTGTCATAAATCTTAGCTAATTGTTGTGCTAAGATATCAAATTCTCAAAGCGTCATGGGGTTTTAATAATTTTAACAGTAATATTAAATGCTAAAATGTTAAACGCAATTATGTCACAACAAAGCTTTGGCTTACTAATTGCATCACAATCAACAATGAGAATATAATACATTTAAAATGTTTAATAGTGGCTTCTGTAGTGAAAATATTTTACACAATATTTTATTTTATTTTTATGATTTTTGCTTCATTTTAATATTATTAATTTTCGTTTTATTTTATCATTGCTGCAGCTACTTCGATTTTTATAATTTTATTGTAGTTGTCAAATATATAAGTGTATGTATGCATAAGTATACATGTAAATATACTTTTTGTTGTCAAAAATATTTGATGACTAATTTATATAAAATATATACCAATGAAAATATTTACGCAGAATAAGTCTCCAGAAACGTCAATAAGTTGATAATAAGTTTTCCTAGCTTTCTCGCTATTTTTGGTGCTGTTAGCTAACATTTCCGCTTCCCAATGCTTACATTGTTCTCCTATCAATATTTTTCGTGCTGCTAAATAGCACATTGTTTTCTGGGGTTTGTTTCAGATTTATCTATTTTAGGTGCTATCGGCAGGTATTTTTTTACTCAAAATAATAAAAGGTTATCCATTTCATGATTTTGATTAAGCACTACTTCATTAACATACTTCAAATAAAACTGTATCTCTTAGTATCAAAAGTTTCAATAAGAATTTACCGTTTCACAGTATGTTATGGATTTCAAAAGCTCTGATATTAATAATATTCTCAAACCTTACAACAAAAATAGTTCCAATTTTTTGCATAGAATATATCAACAAACAAATTATAGCATATAGAGTAGTGAAAATTCACAAGAAACTGTCGAAAGACCATTCTATCAAATCTATTATTTTATTAGAAATTCACTGTATGGTATGGTATTTGAGTTGAAGATGTGATAGATCTGTACTTGAACATAACAAAGCACAGAAGCCATCAAATCTCATGGCATAATTATGCTAAACGTAATGATTGACAATTTATTTTAAAGAGTAAAATTGAAAATATAGATTTGCAAGACATAGATGTAGTTTGACACAATCTACACTAAACTTTCTATGTCGCCTTCATTGCATAAAAAATTTACAGACATGTAATTTCACGTTTTAGTGATGTGATTTGACCATCAAGACCATTCGATTTGTGCCACTGAACTTTTTGTGAAGACTCAAGGAAAGAGTTGTGTTCTTGCAGACAATTTATAAAGTCTTAATGCTTTATGAAAGGACATCCCTTAAGTTATAGCTGAGTAACTGCTCGTTATGTGCCGACAAATCTTCGAAGGTAATGTTATCAAAAGGATACACTACTATAGTGTACAGCATAGAATGCTGTAGTGTGAACATTCTACAACGTTTAAGATAGTTGAATGTTATTGTATCTCATCCAAAGATTCAAATAATGTATTATGTTAAATATTATTATTGAAATATACTAATTTATTTTTCGTTTATTTTTATATATACTTTTGAAACCACAAAAGGTATGACGCAACATATAATTCTGGACTTAAGCATTGAATGCTTACGTTAGTGAACTAAAGAGATTTACTTAGTTATTGATTAAATTCAATTTAGTACAATGTGATATTTTTAAAGTATGACTAAATTAACGCATGACAAATCCGTTCAACGTTTGAGAAATTATACACATTTTATTGAAGCTTTTTTCAATATATGGCATAATTGAAGTAGTAAATGTAATTAAAATAATTAGTAATGTAGTTAGGAATCAAAGAAATGAATTAGTAAATTATTAAAAATTATCTAGCATTCTCTCAACAGTTACTTTTTTCACAACTATTCATCATTTATTGTTATTTCTTTGTTATTGAAATATATCTGATATTCTTGGATATTTCATCGGAAAAAATTTCTTTGCTTACATAAATCACTTGGCAATAAAGATTTTTCTTATTCAATAACGAAGTATCTATTCAGATTCATAATAGCTGATTTCTCTGCAGAATTATGCAAATTTTTATCAATTTACGTTTGAAAACGAATGCTGATTGCAATAATAAATGTATTATTAAATTTATGTACTTCTTTGATGGTGATAACATTGCATAATGACGCTAAAGAATATTATTATTATGGACTCACTTTTTATTTAGAGCAGAAAAAGTTAAACATTATTTTTGGAATATCATGTGAACTCAAGAATATTCAATATTAATAAATTTCATTTAAATCTATTAATTTTTTGATTGATTTTTTGCTTAATTATTTCTTATTCATATAAATGCTTTTTCTGCACTACCTATTAATTACAACCTACCAAAGCTGATAACGAAAGGGCATTTTATTTAAAAGGTGAATAAATAACCGCTATATTATATGAATATTTATCTTAAAGAATCGATTCTGCATATGTTTTCTCATAAAAGGTAAGCACATACCATGGAATTATTTTTCTTATACCAAAAGTGAACTTGATTCTATAGAGTTTTAGTTGATTATAAACAGAATGGTTTGTTAATTTTCGACAAAAAAATTATCCAATCACATTTCAAGAGTATAAACCTTACCAAACTGGATTTTCTTCACTTCAAATGTGATAATTTGATTAAATGAGATAAGATTTTTAATCAGAAATAGCTTCATCGTTAAAGGTTGTTTTTCTAAAATATAGAGAGTGTGAAATTTATATCCCTTGCTATGTACGTCTTTATGAACAATACTCCGTGTTGCGCCATAAGAAAGTAATAATTATGGAAAATAGGGTGAAATTGTTTGTATCTTTTTTATTCATACTTACGTTCATAGGGATATTTTCGGCAATTGCAAAGCAGATGAGCTAGCCAGACGGGGTGCTTCAGGGAATGACTCCGAACTCCTAAACAATCTGGACATATCGTTGACATGATGCAAATTGACATAGAGTTCTTCCTGTGCCGAACTTTTTAACAAAAGATGGGAAGACTCTGCGATATGAAAGCATCTGTATGCAATGTGGCCACAGACCAACAAAAAAAAAATCGAAATCTCTCTTAGAGATGTCCCGTAGAGATATCAGTCTTGTAGTAGGTTTACTAACAGGTCATTGTATTCTAGGTAATCATGCTAGGAGACTGAATCTACATTTCAACCAGTTTTGTCGCAGTTATGGTGAGGATCACAAAAGTGCCTCCCACCTGCATTGTTTCTGTCCGGGAAATGCGCGGCGTCGCCTTAAAGTTTTGGGGGCTTTCTTTTTTGAGGATCTTGACGAACTTCGAGATCTCCCTCTATATAGCATCATAAACTTTATTAAAGGTTTTAGATGGTTTTAGCCCATTGGTTCTCAATAATACGGTATCACAATGGACCTATAGGCCTAAGTGGATCCCCATGAGATCGCCGGTACAACCTAACCTAACCTAACCTGGGTTCATAGCTTCAATGATTTCAGCAATACGTTTGATTTCCACAAATTGTTTCTAAGATATCTACATGTCTGTCTATCTGATTGTTGGTGAATCAAATTTGATTTTAGGTACAATTGAATGAAACTTTATTTAGGTGGTATTTGAATTCAGAGCTAATATTAACTTTATTTAATATACATATTCCTGATCAATTTATCTTTGAGATGTCTTAATATTACATAACTATATTATATTAGCTTTATATCAAAAAATATTAAAAACAAATTTTTTTTTTTTTTCGCTAAATGTAACAAAAATTATCTTAAAAAACCGATGGGCGAAGAACCTACTAGTCCAGTTCTTTCCTCTACGTTAACTTTAAAATTAATTTTAGTGTTAACTCACAAATATTTATTTTAAAATTCTATGTTAAAAGAAAGTGATGAAAATATGTATTTGTGTTTAGTATATAAGCACAAAATTAAGTTGAAATTTTATTATTTTTTATTTAGTGCTTTCTAAACCATTTTTCAATTAAAATTTTCATTTTTTTTACTTATGTTATTATAATTAAAAATTCCTGTTCAAGAAAAACCAAATAAAAAATCTATGGAATAACAAAATAAAAAAAATTTTATGCATAAAATTAAATTTATGAAATATTTTTTGTGAAAAAATATGACTCCATAGAGTTGAGCAAAACTATCAAGTACCCACCCATAAGTGATTTTACTGAGAAATTGATTTTGATAGAATATTTTTGTATCTTAAGATTTTATTTGAAATAAGTTTGTAGTCCAGTATTTAATATAAATTATTATGCTAAATATTGCGCCACATTATAATAAGATACGTTGAATATAGTTTAATTTACATTATAAATAACAAAAAATGGGTAAAAACTCCATGGTCACTAAAGTAGAACTAAGCGAATTTAAGTATTTCATTCTTATAACTCACTTGGTTTCGAAATAGCTCTATAGACTCCGTTTCTGTTATAACTTTAATCTGTTGCGAAAAAATTCGAAGAAAATGATTCAGGGTATGCACATAAACTGTTTGCAAAATTAAATAAATTTTTGATATATGTTTATAATCTATTAATATATTACTCTTATTAATTACTTTATTATTTCTTTAACTCTACAACAATATAAAATCTTTATTGGACCATCATGTCTCGGATTAAAAAAAAGCTCCAGAGTTTTTTAATTATGCAGAAATTTTTTTTTGATATTGTGTTATTTTAAAAATATCTTCCAAAAACTAATATGAGTGAGAAAATAAAGTTTTATCACAAAAGGGTTAAAGCATATCGTGTGTTAAACCTTTTTTATTACGAAATAAAATTATATTATTTAAATTCTGTTAATCTTATTGATTAGTTGTAGTAGTTTTTTAAAACATATTATGCTATTACAATCATTAAATTTTGTACATGACATTTGATATAACAGAATATATCAGAGAATATTTCTTATACTCACATTTGACATTTAATAAGATTCTTATACATACTTACATAAGGTTTAATG